GGGATCAAGTCGACGGGAGTTTGGCGTGTGTCGGCACCACCTAATGGTTCGCATAAACTGGCCCTAAGATCTTAAAATAGTTGCACACAATTTATACATCCTGCTGTTGCACCTTCGACTTTAGTTTACGCGGTCGATTACCCCCTTCAAGCAGCAACTATACTTTAAAAAACATGGTATCAGTGTAACCAATCTACGAGAAAATATTTTTTTAACCGTAGAAAGTAGCCCATGAATTATTTATAATATCGATTCTCATATGTCAGAAGCTGACTTATCAGCTTAAGAAGAATCAAGCTTTCGGGCGCCTCTCGTTCCCTCTGCGATAACAAAAAAAATGCCTATTTCCGGTTGACCTTTTAAAATATGGCCTTTTTGGAGGCTCAAAGAAACAGTGGCTATTGGTCTGAGAGATGATGAGAGAATGAGAGAGTGGAAAATTATAATATATCCTCCTCGATGGGAGGCAAATGCTTTGACAGTTGATTGTTATCTTACGTCTGTATCCCGCGCCGACACCTATGAAAACTCAAACACGCGACTAAATACATCACCATGAGACTCACAACAATTGAGAGGGGGGCCTTTATCGACTCTCAACAGGGTCCGATGTTGCGTCAAATTGGTCGATGGCTCTTTGGTACATACATCAAGTACATATAGTTAGTTGTATATATACTAATACTAACGGGAAAGTTGGTTGGAGTCTCTTGGGATTGAGAGAGGGAGGATGAGCTACAACGAGAGGTGGCTTCGTCGTTCATCCAAGGACGTACATGCCAACGATCTGCCAGTCTATATGTATACATTCAGGTAGCGTTCGAGTGCAATCAGTGCTTGCTCGTTAATTAAACGGCCAAGTGAAAATCATTGATCTCGGTGTTTGGTATTGTCAATGAGAAATCAATTGGAATAATAATAGAGGCATTATTTTTTAGTCTCATCCCTTCTTATAGGGGATGGGCAACTTTTTATAAAAATATAAGAATCTTTGGTAAAAAAAAAAGCATGAACTGCACAGTGCCATGACGGAGGGCATGTAAAAAATGTCATGAGCGATGGGCCGAAGGATGCGTCCTAATGTGAACGTTCATGACGGCGGATTTTAATCGATTTTGAGAAAATTGGCATACATCGCCATTCCATCGAACAAATACATACCCTTCGTTATAGTAACGAATTAGTGCAATCCATTCAATATCATTCTCATAAAACATTGCCAAATGAATTTGAAAAAGGGAATTTCATTAATGTCGGCGCCGATTTAGCGGCCGGAGCGGTGCTAGTATAATATAACCGTAACGATTGCTGTTGGCGTTGCCATTGCCATTGCCATTGCCATTGCTATTGCCATTTAATTTCTCCATCACATTTTTTTTCTATTTTGAAAAGCATCGTGTGCGGGTATTGCGACGCTCGGGGAATGCATCGAAGAAGAGGTGGAGAGGTGCCAGGAGAAGAAGTTGCACTCAAGAGGAGGTGGCAACGTGGCCACCATGTGTGTATCAGGGGGAGAGACCAAACCAAGGGCATACCAGGCAAAACTCCAAGTGCCTTCTCTTCCTTCGTTCCTTTTTTCCTTCCTCCCGCACCTCCTCCTTGATTTTCTTTCTCTCGGTTTGTATATACGCCAACTATATACCCCTATATATACCAACCACCGCTATCTGACACGTTCTAACGTCGTACGAGAATAAACGGCTCTTCTATTTCTCTTCCTCCATTCCTCCATTCCTCCATTTTTATTTATTTATTTTTTATTCTTTCTCATCTCCTCTGGCTCTCTCTAGTGCCACCACCCTTCTTCCCTCCTCTCCTCCGTTTTTTCTAATGTGGAATTCTTCAACTTTTATTTTCCAGTGTGGACCCATCCATTCTACCTGATGAATAAAAACATGCTGGGAAAATGGGAAATGTCAACTGAATTCTCCACTCTTTGACAATCTTTAATTCAACCACTTACGGATTTAACACGTCGTGGCGGCTTCCAGGTCATTTGAATCCTCATACTGAATTCCCTTATCATGCCTCTCCATCTCAATTATTGAATTTGAAAACACAATTTTTGGTTTGGCTATTTTAATCTCCTACTAGACAGATATAGATATGCAATCGACGATTGATTGATTAAGAGGTTCGATATTCATCGAGAATTTTATTTTTACCCTTCCATGTGAAATTTCTCAGTGGTTATATGTGATATTAATCATTATTAATTTTGCATTAATAAATTCATCCGTCGGTTCATTTAATTTGCATACAATTTATAAATAGAATTATCGAATTGAAAGGAAAAATAAATGGTTGAGCTTCACTGTTGAAGGTAAAAGCTACGATGGTTAGACGAAGAGTAGGCGGAGGTGACTGTGGGGTCGAGCCAGAGGCAGCAGGGGGAGCAGAGGGAGAGAAAAAGACACCCCCTAGTGCCCATACTGGACTCGGCCCGTTTTTTTTTCTTTTTTTAGCCTTTCTTTTCTCTTTTTTTTCCTTCATTTTTTCGTTCTCTATTTTTTTTTCTGCTCCGTGTAAGCGGAAAAGAGGCGTCGAGGGGGCGAAGTGAAGCGAAGGAGAACAACTACGACGACGTCGGCCACCACGACGACGACGACGACGACGATGACGATGAAGCAGGAGTGTAAGAGGAAAAAGACGCGGGTGGAAAGAAAAGGAGATGGAATTGAGGTGGATGGGGAAGGAGGAGGTTGGATGCTGGACGCTGGTGGAAGGAGAAGCATTGGAAGGTCGTAGAGACGAACTGAACTGAACGTGTGGAGTTAAGGGAAGGAGAGAGGGATAAAGTAGAGGTAGTTGGGGTGGCATTGACGTGAGTAGGGTGAGGTTGGCGAGGATTGCGAGGATGGCGAGGTTGGCTTGGCCAGAGAGAAGAGATCCATATAGGGGTGCTCATGGCATACAAAAAAAGAACGGTGAAGGGGGAAAGATCGCCCCAGGGCTTCCCAAGATCCCAACGATTGTCTAATACTATCGTTGGACTTTGTCCCACGCACAATCGATAATATGTTGTGCGTATTGACCATTTCTTTTTGCCAGTCATGCAATATATTATTGGTTACTGGATATTGACATTTGTCATGAGTTGTTTAATAAAATCAACTTGCGAAAAAATTTAGCGAGGAAATTCATCTGCTCTTTTTTTTTATAGTCGACAGAAGGCACAACAGCTTCAGTAGAGGGTAAACTTGGCTACCTTTAAGGTAATATGTATGAGAATGATGCGTAATCCGACTATAGATAGGAGAAGTTGGTTCTCTGGAGAGATGCAAGCAAAGGTCGGACAACGGCATACACACGGGAAAAGTATTTTTCCGGTTACGAGAATTCTCGTAAAACTTTGTTGAATTCACTGGCACTCTCTCAAGAAAACCATAAGTGAAACGTTAATAAAAACTTTAAAGCTATTCATTTTTTACGCTACTCCTAGCATTGGTGATTTCATGGTAACATGACATTTGATAATGATGAGCTGGCGGCAAATTAACATTAATTAATTCTTTTTCACAAAGCAAATTACGAAATTGATTCAACTATAACGATCATCCTACAGCATGCCCATGCGATAACATTACCGACTCTCCCCTACACAATACTCCTAAATCGAGCCTAATGGCCTATCATGTTCCCCCTCATATTCACTCCACCTGAAACACAAAAGCTAACCACAAATTGTACTCTAGAAAATCCTTGAAAAATACTCTCGCTAGACATTCGCTTCAAATTCATTGACAAAGTCCATCAGGAATAATAGTTAGGGCAAAGTTGATTGTTCTACCGAACATTAACAGCCAATAACACGAGCCCTTCGCCCTTTTACGAAAAGTGTCTCAGTGACAGAGACCATAGAAAGAGAGAACCCCTACGCGGGGATAACGATTCGACCCAATTAACATATATATAAGACTGATTTTTCTAGTGTCTACATAAGCTAGGGCTGTTTGGTAAAAAAAATATTCATTCATAAATGATGCTCACCTTGGATAACTTTGAAAAACAAAGTTCATCTCTCCCGAAACGTGCATAACCCCTAGACGACTGTAGCGACTGGAATTTACTGTGCACGCAAACACGTTATTCTCCTCGATGCTGTATGTGTGGTAGTGCACTAGCGCAAAAGGGGTCGGGGTAACAGAGGAGGCCGAGGGGCCATAGCCGAGAAGGGAATACGAGTCTTCAGCACGTGAAACAGAGAACCCGAGCCCCTCTCTGCCCACAGTTGAAGTTTCCTCGATGGTTCGTCCACGTCCCACGTCCAAACGTTGGACGTTTGTAACGCATATAACCCTCTCGAGTCTCTCTTTCTGACACTCGGCTGTCTCTATCTCACCCATGTACATACACAAGAAGTACTGAGAAGCCTCTTTTGTACCCCATCGCGCGTCTACCACGTGCATCCCTCTCCCTTTTTTGGCTGTCGTGTGTGAGAGACACTCAAGCTCCTCGTCCCTCCCCGCTCGCCCTTCTCATTCCTCTTGGCTGGATAAAACGCCGCTCCCACCCTACCCCTACTTTTACTTCTACTCCACCTTTTACACCAATTCACCCACTACTTTTTTTCATCATTTTCTTTCATTTCTCCAGATAGATCATTATAATAATAATATTAAGTTATAAAATAATTTTAACTGTAATAAATAGACAATGAGTGTGTGACTAAAAAGTGTATACCTATAATAATGTAGAATAGCCTGAGTGAATAGTGTGCCTCTATCCATGGCCATCGGTGTGGCAGAAGGGAGTTGGAAAAGGGAGGTGAAGGGGGCGAAAAGGGGTGTGGGGTGAGAGGCGGGAGGCGGAAGGGCGAATGGAAGTGGTGGTGTGAGTTGTGAGTTGTGAGTTGTGTGTTAGAGGGGGCTAGAGGCCAGGGGCTCGGGGAAAGCGGTGAGGGGCACGCGGCAAGAGGCATGAGGGAAGAGGGAAGGGGAAAGGGGAAAGGGGGCAGCAGTCGCCTCGGCGTCGCCAGCCGTTAGTTCGCCGTGAGCGCTCGTTACGCGAGGACTTGAGATTATGTCATTCCACTAGCTTCAGTGTTTTCATTCGTCTTAGTTTTCTCTTCTCACCATTCAATGAAATTTAATCACTAAATTAAGACAACTCAAGTGGTTGAATCATTTTCAATATTTCGGACTGACGATGGAATTTTGTGTGTGTTAAAAACAATTGTTGGGACATGAGATTTTCACGAATGTGAAAGAGCTTGTGACAATCGGCACCAAAAAATCAGTTGAAATAAATTGATAAAAATTGAATAAATTGCAGTGCAATTGCAGATAAATTATTGATATAATTTGCCTGATTGATTAGAAATAAATGATGATGGATTGCTGAACTTGAGAAATCATCAGCAGAAAGACATTACCTCATTATCAGATTGAATCGTATCAAAGTGATTTTAAAGTTTGAAAAGACTCCGATTAGAATAAAAGTGCGTGAGAGCCAGCCGATTATTTTTTCTCTCTGTGATAAAAGCCTGGACAGTTATTATCGCCATTGCGTCATGCGTTAACGTCTTGGCGCTATTTCTCCTCATCGGCACAGTTTCAGTGTTTTTTTTTTTCCCCCCTTCTCCCTCACTGGCTATATTGATGTGTATGTGTGTGTGATTTTTCTGGCGGCTTCTAATCGGAGTTTGAGAAGGACGCGTGTGTGGCCACCGTTTGAACATTCGAGAGAGCACTGAGGCAGAGAGAGAGAGAGAGCGAGAGAGGGAATAAAAAGAGCCGGTGCAATTTTCCACGCGGTGTGTGCCAGGGCTTGAATATGTCAGCTAAGCGAAAGGCCACTGCCATCATGCAGCACCACAAGGTGAATCAACGAGTTTCTTTGTCCATCACTTTTTTTTTCCAATCCGTTTGCTCCTCATTTTTACAGCAATGTCTCTCGTTATCTTTGTTTTTTCTCCTAAGTATTTCTGTCTCGGTTGTCGCTTTCCTTTTTCCTGGCTTTGGGTGTGTGCTGTCGGCGGAGAGATACGCCTCCCACGTGATTCAGAGGTCGGTGCGATTCGTCATTTTCAACTAGGAAATTAGAAAAAAAGAAAAGTCAAAAAATATTTATTCTATTTAATTGTCTTACCTGAGTCCATGAACCTTGAAACATTATTCGAATTTTCAAATTATGGGAATACCGCGATATTACCTTGAGAGTTTCATTCAACCGTTAATAGATTTAAATGGCACGGCATCACACGCACACAGCACGTATCAAATTCACCGCTCGGCAAACTTATTCCCAAAAGCACATTTCCATTAAGAATACATCTCAACAATTGGTGGTTACTCCAATAATCAGTATCGCACAATTTTCCAGCGATATATGTATTCTCTATATCCATCCAATGGAAACAAAGAAAAGAAAACAAATAATCAAATTGATTTCATAACAATATCTTTGTTTACATGTTTTTACTAATTGAGCGTAGAGAGATCGTGCTGATTGTTTGATGTGCTGGTAAATCCTCGGGGCGAACCATCGAGTTATAAAACACAAAGCAAAAAAAGCAAACGGAAAAAAATGCAAAATAAAATAAAAAAAAAACAGGTGGAAAAAAAGGGGCAGTGATATGGTCAGATATGAGAGGGGGTAGCGATTTATAAAATATTAACCTCCGGTTTGCCCTCTCTTCTCTTTCTCTCTTTTACTCTGGTTTTTTTTTTTCCTCTTTTTCTGTGCGTGCCTCGTCAATTTATCGATCGTCGAGAGGTAGCCACCCAGTGCTCCAGCGTTATCGCTGCCACGTGCAAACTCCATTTTTTTTTTTTTCAATTTCGTTTTTGTCTCTTTGTGTATACGCCCCATTTTCTGGCACCCATGGCCTGGAACATCGGTGAATCTCGCCAATTTGTTTTTTTTTTCTTTTTCCCTTTTTCCTTTTGGTAAATTAATTTTACTGATCACTTGTCGAGCGCTTGTTCACTATGCATATACTGATTTTTTTATTTTTTCATGAAGAGGGTGTGAAAATATTTGATATGATTGGAGAATAGTACATCATCGTTTATTAAGAATGGTAAAGAGAGAATTGAAAATGATTTTCTTCATAAAATAAAAATCTGAGCGAAATAGGAATTGAAAATGAGTGAGGAATTGAAGTCGAATGAAAGTACTGGGAAAAGTTTCGTGGAAAGGTGCAATACAAGTTGAGGTAGGTAAGGGACACGAAAAATAGTCTATCCTCTTTCATCACTCAAAGCCCAAACCCATCTATTTTCCCCGGCGAGTACTTTGTCTCTCTTTTGGCCATTGAATGCATAGGTACCGGTATCGAGTTGGTCTCTCTTCTTCTTGCCTATTGGTACATAACTTTATCTCAGTTCCGCGCTCTCAATCTCCGTCGCACTCGCGTATAACTACGCCGTGGGGTACTCCTCTTTGGCGGTCCAACAGGTTATATTTTTTCAGTGTCTCTCTTTTCCTCTCCTCCTTGTTCCATGTCCTCTTTCCCTCTGTATTTTTTTCTATCAAATCATCCACCTCCCGTACATTTCTTTTAATTCTCTCTTTGCCCTCGTTTCCTTTTCACCCCTCCGTTCCTCATTCCTCTTTCTTATTTCTTATTTCTTCACTCCGACTTGCTTTTTTTTCTCATTTTCATTCATTTTTGTTTTTGATTTTTCTTCTTTCTTTTCTTTCTTCCTTATTTCGTCGCAAGAGGCCGTCCAGGCAGCCAACTCGAACCCTTTTTTCTCTCATCCTTTTCCTGACGTTCTGCACAAAGTGGATAATAGAATCGTCCTCTCACCCGTCTCACGACACCTCAATGTCTGGCTCAAATGCCACCCATCAAAGCTACACAGCCCAAATGGAAAGAGGAAAAAAAAAGAAGTAAAAAAATTCTCCTCTACTCAAAGAGAAATTCATCGGAAAAAATATTGAGTATCTCTTATTCGTTAAATCCTCATCTCCATCTCAAATAGTTACTCATCATCTGTCACCTATCAATCGTATCTATTAAATTGTTTCCTGTTGTTAAAATAATTCAGTTGCAGTTTACAGTTCTTCGGGATGTGTTCATGTCTTTTAACTGTCCCTACCGCAATTCATCAGATAACTGATAGCTGTGGGTAATTGAAACTTCGTCTCATATCATTAATAAAAGATATTTAGGGAATGGTTGTATGGATTGTGTATGGATGTTTTCTGCACTCAGTGACAAGCTAATTAATCAGCCTTGCATAAATTTTGGAAGTTTGTCAAGAGGTGCTTCTACTCGTGATTATCGCTTTTGCTAGTTCATTGACAACAAGTAATTAATCCAAATCAACATGAAATAGTAGATGATTAATTGATGGAATTTGCATAAATAGCTGGGTGGATGTAAAAGGAGATAGAAAAATCTAAAATTTGAGGATATATATTTTTTCATTTCTCATTTGGAGGAAAGCCCGGTGAGAGGTAAGAGAGTATGGATTTCCCATAAGACGTGGGTATGCCAGTGCCTGGAGCCGACAATAAGGGTGCGCCTCTAGGTACCCATGTGCCCAGCCGCGCTCTTATCCCTCCATTCGGGTTACCCATACACTCGCTCGTGTTCAAACCGTTTCCATCCCATGTATGTGTGTGCACACAAACTCCCGATATATTCTCGCTTCCATTTCCAACCGGACGAGCACTGGCACACTACCATCCACCCCCACCCATCCCCCTCAGGTATACCTTGCGTGTGCTATCGGCTCGGCCAACCCACCCTTTTATCCACCCGTCGTGTGTCTGTCCCCCTTTTACCAAGAGAGAGACAGAAAGAGTCAGTTCTCTCCCTCTCCCATTTTACCACCCTATGGCGCTTTTGCTACACTCACGCCTCCCAACCACCAACCCTCCTCCCCTCCTCCCTTCCACCCCCTCACCCTCCACCCTCTACAGTGGTGTGCTCCAGAAGCTCAACGGTTTCAACCTAACAGGACCACGCCTGCTATCCACTCGTGTTGGAATTTTTTTTTTTTTTTTTTCATTTTATTTCATTTTTCGGTTTAAAACCAGTTGGACCATCGTTTTTCCTCTCGTATTTCAGAGAGAAATCATTTCAATTTGATTTTTCGAGGGAGTGAACAATCGCTGTGGAGTATGGCCAAGTCATTTATCAATTAATGGTTCAATTAATTTTCCAAAAATTACAAGAGTAATGAAAATTTTCCGGGGTGAACGTAGGATGTTTTGTTTGTTCGATGAGTTTCTATGAAAATTTGGCATTCCAAAATTTTTTCATTTTTTTTCATTGGCAATATAATTTCGACTGGAGTTTATGCCTCGCTATTCAACTGCCGAGTCTGGGAACGATTGGAGGTTTATCGACACTGGACGACGCTCGACGACACGCTGCATGTAGTATGACTAACATACATACACAGACACATAGAGAATTGTGCCGGGCGGAATTGGTGAGCAGTAGGCGTGTGTTGATAGCATGCGGCTTGGATGTTTGTTGCGGGCATCAGAGAGGCCCCGTGTGTGTACTTCACCTCCTACCCCTCACTCGGCCCCCTCAATGTCCATCTTTTTTCCTTTCTATGTGTCTCCCTGTCGCTCTCATAGAGTTGGAAAGGGAGTTGGGTGAGTTGGGTGAGTTGGGCGAGTTGGGTGAGTTGGGTGAGTTGGGTGATTCAGGGAGCCATCCGTGTCAAGGTACACCGCATCGTCAGCGTCCACATGCAACGCCCTGTATTCTTTTTGCAACAGTCACGCCGTTTGCCAATGAACTGCGGTTCCGTGTGTGTGCTGCAGGAACACGGTGACAAACTCTCACCGATCGCCCCCTCCCCCCCTCCAAATGAGAAAAAGATATGGACCTGACGTGTCGATAAATAAATAAAAATAAAAGCAATCCTGAAATTTTCCATTCCTCTTTTTCCAGTCCAACTGCAACTATCTATTTTTTTTTTCCACCGAGTAATTGATATTGTCAGAGTTGAACTAGCCATTTTAATTCCATTTTCACTAATCCTTCGTTTCTTAGGGAAATTAGATTTTCTGGAAAATTCAATGATTTCACAAGCCTTTAAATAGAGTCATCTCCCGTAGAGCATCATGAATCATTTTAAGTAATATCTTGTCGGATTCTTCCAGTCGAAATTCTTCCCATGAAACATAATTCAATATCGTGGAATGTAATTGGATGCATAAAATATAGATCTTCGCGGGTGTCCCGCGATCTCGTCTGCGAAACCAAAAATAACGGATCTATTATATAAATGGAGAATAGATAGTTTCACCATTGTTTTGCATCCGTAAAAATTTTAATTGATAAATTTCATTGTAAAATGATGAAATATGTATCAACTTCTTTTAAATTGGGAGTGCCCTCACTATTAAGCGTTCAAAAGATATTTTTATTTTCCAATATATTTATGAAAACCTCACTCTCAAATCGAATTGACATTTTACCCTCTACTCGTGATAAATATTACAAGAGCCATTAAAAAATTGACACATGCAGCCAGCGAATTTTTCCCTCCAATGATCTCCCTCATCAACAATGCTCTGTCAAATTATTAATGACCCTCAATTAGCTTCGGTTAAATGTACCCGGAGCACAAGTTGAGGAGACATATTCTCCTCTAAAATTCCGTCTCACATTCCTTATGCCGTTAAATTCAACATGGTCGCAGTGCAGGAGATGATGGTTGGGAAATCTGTGAGAGAAAGATCCATGCCAAACAATGTGGGAGATGTCAGAGGATGGAGAAATTGAGACTGGAATAGCGAGCGTTGGGGTTATATATCTCTCTTTCTCGCTTTCCCGATTCGATCCCTTCTACGGTAATATGCCGATCGAATTACGCAGCAATCTCCTCGAATCCCCGATATGT